ATGTCAAATGAAATGTATGTATTTCGCGCTGCCACTGAATAATTTCTTCAGTTTGGGACTTTTTCCAGGATCAAACTAACTGGTCCATGCTCAAACGCTTTGCGTACATTTCCTATTGATAAGCAGCGTTGCATGTTGTTTTATGAATCGTTCAATCATAATTATGATCAGGTTTAGTCTTTTCCAGCTTTTACATTATTAAATGGCACTGAAATCATTATTTTAAAATAGAAAATTCCTTAGATTTTTTGCAGGTGGCAATGGAATGGACCGAAACAGCTCCTCCGATAACTATTTTGAAGCATAACATAACACTGCCAGACTACGTACTTGTTGATTTTGCAGCAACCAGTGTTAGACGAGTGAGTGGAATTGCAAATTTTTTCAAAAATATTCCTGAGAATAGGCTTTTATTAAAACATTGATAGTGAGGATATAAGCCGTTTTAGCATATCAGCGCTGATCATGTAAATGAATTTTAACATGATTATTTCACTGGATAATAGCAGCGAATCAAATCAAATTCTTTTAGATTGGTGCACAGGTAAGTAAAAGACCAGCAGAAATAGCGTTAAAAGCAGTTTGTATGGCTTTAACTGTTTTGAGGTGTTACCGGTGTTTACTGAGCATCGCCCCAAACGTCTCTACTTCTGATCCACGATGAGAAAACTTGTCGAAAACCTGTCGAATTCAGGAACGGTAATCCTTCTCGGATGAAACACGCGTGAAATTTCTTGCTTATTCATTTACTTGGACTGCGAATCTAGTTATTTATTTTGCAAATTTTTAGCTTTATCCACCTGGAATATGGAACGAGTTAATTGCAACATTCACATTCCAGCGACTCTATGGCTTTTACATATTGCAGGCATGCGTTTATAAATTCTTATTTAGACTTACGAAAACAATGCTCAAATTATGTGAAACATCTGGTTTGGCAAAAGCTAAACTAATACAAGAAATTACTTGTGAAAAGTAGCGAACAATAAGGTTTTTTTGAGCCTTTTGAACTATGCGTTAGGGGTTATTATTTTGAGCTTTTTGGATTACTTTTTGGAAGGCATCCTCTGAGGAATTTTTGAGACTGATATTTTTTACAATGGACTTGAATTAATTGATTTTATAACTAAAAATAGCTCCATCTTTGCTTTAAGTTGCTAACTCAACTTGCGTTATTTAGCTTATTTTTATGAGAATATACTGAACGCTCAGTGATAGATGCTGCTGAGATGCTTTGAGGACTTTTTGGAGCCTTTTTTAGAAGTTATTATCTGAGGAATTTTTGAGACTGTTTTTTTTTTCGAAGTGGAATTTAAGCGACTGTTCAGAGGCACTCCTTTTCAGGTATATGTTCCGGCTTACATCTCTGTGTTCATCTCTTGGGTAAGTTTTTTCCCCACAGTCCAGAGCAAAATACTTCACTGAGATAAAAGCATTAAAGTCCTTCAGTGAATGCATTCACAAATCCGTTTACAGAGTTTGGCGCTGGCGCAAAACATGATAGCACTGTGTAATAATCTGTAAAATAACAAAACAAAAAGCAATACACATCTAATAGAATCCGCATTTGGCGCATACATTAAAGTTTAGCCTTATTAACAAAATTCTAGAAGGAAAATTCTCAGTGCATATAGCTAACTATTTATATTGTTAAAGGTATCATTCTATTTGGGCCCAAATCTTCCTTCGCGGACAACACTCGGTGTCAATTCGCTTCTCGCTCTCACGTAAGAGCTCGTCGTTTAATTAAATTCTGCAAACTTTGAAATCGCCAATTTTATTCTATAAATTTTTTTAGTAATGTTAATCTCGGCACAGAATTTCTCGAGCACAAGCCTTTACTTTTGCTTTCAACTCCATGCTTGTTGCAGATTTCAGTTCGGTTCTGTTGTCAGTAACCTGCCTAAAACGAGCGATGTGAAAGGTGATTTTCTTGTATCATGCTTAAATATGACGCTGGCAGCTTATAAAATAGCATACTTTACTGGTATGGTGTTCCAAAAGCGGCAGGGTCTCTCATAATTATGCTCAGCGTAGAGCTGCGTCTTAGTGACGTCAGGAGCTCTACAGTATTGGTTCGAGCTGCTTAGAAAAGTAGTGCCTAGTACTCAAATTGTAATAGGGTTAGAAGCACTACTATACTGTATGTTTCACTCATTTTTCCGCAATCCTATGTCCATATCTGGCAAGCAAGCTAATAGCTGAATCTCCCTGCGCGTCACATTTTAAGCAGCCTCAACTGTCTGGTAGTTATTTGTTGTACCAAGCGCTGATAAAGCTGGTATAGTTTATATCACCCATATCAACATTTAGTACCAGAGAAGGTGATCGGTAGCAAATGAGGCCATAGATGCCAATATAGACAAAATGTGACATACAAACAGCGTCTAATGATAACGTAATCAAAATCAGAAAGAGAAGAGAGGGAAATGAGCTGGAAATCTTGGCCTTGCTCTTTGCGTTTGCAAATATGCAGTTCATGCTTCATTTTAAGCCATCGATGTGTGGATCTTGAGCTCAATGGCCTTTATTTTTGCGTCACTGATAGAACTGGCTGCTGTCGGGTTCATG